GATTCACTTGAACGCTATTTCTCTCGCCATTTATGCACAATGCACACCGTGTCGTCTCGTCTCCGCGACACTTTTCTTCCTCCATCTTCGCTTCCATTTCCTTATTCATTATTCTATTCTCTATTCACTTCTTTTTTTTTTCAAAATGGTCATTTCCGCGACATTCTACCTCGTACAAGCATCTGCAGTAAAAGTTTGTTTGGTGCCACGAGTGGACCTCGACAATTGTGAAAAGAGGTCGAATCTGCATTATAACGATATTATTTATGTATTTCGCGATTACAATTCTTGGTACTAAATCTTAACGTCACTGCTGGAAAACGTTCAATTTTAATCAGTCAGCAATTTGTATAGGAAGAAAGAACCAAGGAACTTATGTCGAAAATATTTTTCTACGACGTCATATACAATCGTGCGCATGTCTGTATATCATGTTTATCGACATATTCACTTATCGAAACCCTGGCTTTAAAGAGCTTAAACACGCAAATGGTAAAATCTAGGATTTTTATCGAGAACTCGGAACTAACTATAAAATTATAAGAATGTGAATAAACTTAAGTTTGTTTGCTCAAGATCCACTACAACTTAGATCGACTACAACATAGCCCAGTTTAATTGTACTAGTAATAAAATTTGTAAAATATAAACATAAAATGGTACCATATCTTTCCAAATCTTTCCAAAGAAACAGAACGAACGAAACTCTGGTATAATGAAGCGAACACAACCTACAATTGTAACTTGTTGCATGATAACTATACGTACCAGTTTCTGTGGTGCAATCGAAATTCTAAACCGAAAGCAAAAATAAACCGGAGAAAAAGAATAATACTTTCCTATTTAAAATATTCGTTTTCAAGAAAACGGAGTTTGAATATTTTTCAAATATATTTCAATTTGACTATTTTGTACTGAACATGAATCAACTGATGATACGAAGATATTATGTCTATGTATAAAAATAAGTGAGAAATACGGAATAAAATTTTTTTATTTAAGGTTTCATTTTCAAGAAAGTAAACCTCAACTATATTTTATTAAAAATACACGTGTATTTGATCAGTTTTTTAATTTAATTCTCTCAAGAATTATTATTTTACTATTTTGCTACATTGTTCTTTTAATTTATTTTTGTGTACTTATCAGTTATTCATTTCGATTTTCTTAAAAACAAAGCGAATCAACTTTATTCCTTATTTTCTGCTTTTTCTTTTTCGTAGAGTTATCCTCTTCTTGGGATGCTCTGTGAGTACCAAGAAGGATAGAATTTTTGGTGAAGAAAGAGAAGAAAGAGATTCGTTGATTTCACGAAATATGTTCCTTAGCAAGCTCAGGCGTGCTCTCGTTGAAATCTTGAATTTGCATTAGAGGCAATCACAAATTCACAGAGCATTAACCTTACGTTCAGAGGCGATAGAGTATAGGCGTAGAGGATACAAAGAGCGTGAATTGGCTGAAGGATGACGTAGTAACGGAGGGTAGAGGCAAGGATACGGGAAGTATGCATTATCTGTTGGATCCATGCTATTTGTGCAAAGTGGCCTAACCTCACACCGTCTTCAATCCCCCCTCACCTTCGATTCGACATAACCGCCTACATTTAGGCGGTTTGGAGGGTAATACATTGTTTGCTCTTCGTTCGCTAAACTAAACCGCATTCGGAATTAATTGCACGTTAGGAGGCCACGGGATAATTAAAGCCGCCTCGATTACCCTCACCCACTATCCTTCCGTTTCCGATGCGTTCCTACCGGACGTCTTTGCCAGGATCAACTATCGTAATAAAACATCGCTGTTACACCGTAACGAGAGAATATCGATCAGACACATGTGAACAAATAGGTAACGTCGAAATCATAAATCGTATAGAAATTTAATCAATTTGTTTAAATTATTTTCTAAAGTTTTATATGATTTCGAAAGTGTCAGAAAGTGACAGTAAGTCAACTAGAAACGAAGCATTTGCACTGAGTTTCGAATAATAGCAACGTTGTGTAAAAAACCACGATCAGAGGAAAATAATATGGAGAATAATTCACACGATCAAAGAAAGTCAATGAAATTAAATGTATAAGTAAAAATTAAGAACTGATCGAAACTGTCAAAAATCAACAAATTTGCACCAAGTACACGAACATAAGGTGTTATGTGTGTGGTCTTCAAAGAGTACGCAAGAAGTTGAGTACACAAAAAAGTTCAGTATATGCTGACAAACCCCAATCGTTTCTTTCAATAATCTATAGGCTTTTTTTCGACGTGGAAGACCGCCCACACGAGGGCAAGAAGCCATTGTTTCTTCCCATACGGCCAGCTTGATTGTGTTAATGAAAAATGGGAAAGAAGTAAAGCCAAACCAATGGCTCTATATCGGAGGAATGTCGGCAACATTGGCTTCATCGAAGAATAGCGGGCTGCAATGGGAATTGAACGTGATCCAAAAGCGCTTATAAATGAATAACATCCATAAAGGATAAGATATCGAAGGATTATACCCATTATCATATATCTACGAGGGAGTTTTTTTTTCTCTGTGCGTCATTGATATCCATATTTCTTCACAGCTATAAGGAATATCGATCGTAAATGTGTTTCGAATGTCAATAGTTTTACAATATACGTGCGCTGAATGTTACTCCAACACAATTATATATTCGCGTATCTATATGTAAATTACCTGTATGTGTTTATATTGATAAATAAATGCAAATATGATATTTACTAAAAGAAAAGTAATTTGAAAATAATTTTAATTTGCGATTTCGAAAATTTTATATAAACTATATATGAATTTTGTGAATTTGTAAGAAAAAATTTCTTTTACTACGTTCATATGAATTGTACAGACAATCGTAATCTATGTATGTATGAGATATGTTATCTATAAAATATTTACTTTCAAAATTAATAGCACATCTTATATAATTTAATATCTAATTTTATTATTTATAACACTACAATTGGAATTCGCTACAACAAAAATTAAAAATAAAAATACATACATATTTATTCACTACAATTTAATTATGACTCAAAAAACATAGAAACTTAGTTTGAAAATCTTAAAACATGAAAAATTACGTAATTAAATAAATTTTAAACGATTGACGGATATTATTATATAAGAATTTGCTATCAATTATGCGTATTTATCCATCTGTGTTTAAAATAGTTTCTACGCAGATGAGATATATCTACCTTTTTAAATCTACCTCGATATAGAAGATAGCAATAATATCGACATCAGGTAAGAATTATTTCAGCCACAAACGAGGTATACGTATAGACATTGCATCCAATGTATTTTTTCGGCCATGGTAATAATTTTAATTATTACCATTTTCATTACCAAGGCCTTACCATTTTCACATCACATTCTGTCGTACGATTTTGCACCCACCGGGATTATATCTCATCTGTACTTTGGTATATGGATATAAAGCCTTTAATTCAACCGTATCACCAGAATGCGGCGCTAGTGTCACTCACCGCATAAACAGGTAAATTTTCATGTACAAAAAAAATTAACTCAGCTTCAATTTTGAATGAAATTATCATTTTTCCTGTCAACATTAAGTTTCAGCATGTGGTTTTCTTTGTCTTTTTTATTTTGACTTCTACTGTTGAAATAGAAAAGATGAAGAAAAAACTAGATCATATCTTAGAGACAAATATTGTCCAGAATTATAACATAACAATTAGATAACACATATGATTGAAACCATTTTTTAATGAATTGCGCTATAGACATAGAAAAATATATCTACATAAGAAATCAAACAAATTCTCCTGCATCAAAACTGGATGAAAGGGATACAAAGATGAAATTGGACTTTCTTTATAACACATTTCATCAGTTTTGAATTCAGTACTCTCTTACCAGTATGCAACTACCAGTATAAAAATTTATATGTAATATTAATTTCGTGGAAATAATGAGAGAAACTAACAAAAAAGAAGACCAATGAAAGTATGAAAGTAATTCAGTACGATGGTCAGATGAATGCAATCAGGCAATGAGAAAAGCTATATACACATGAAACACTGAGTTCTTCTGCAATATACTAAAAATTTCCAATCAAAATGGGCAAAAGCAAAATAAGAATTTAACAACTACTTCTTTCTTGAAGAGAGCTAGCAGAAAATAGTGAACAGATTCTGTCCATTGTGGCAGATCCATCATTGACAAACTCCTCAACAGGTCATTCATTTCTAGATCAACTCTTTAACTATACTGTAACTTTATACTTTATACTTCAACTATGTTCGCTAAACTAAACCGCTTTTTTGCAGCTTTGGAATAATGTGAATCATCTTCAGTTCCAGGACCAGACAATACAGACTATAAAATGATAAAAGCATTATCAGATAAATGCAAATTGTTTCTACCGGAGCTTCTACTTTCAATGAATTGTATCAAATCATACTGGAAGCATGGAAAGAAGTGCAAATCTTTGTAATATCAAAGCAAAATAGCAACACCCTATGACCAATAACAATTTTCTCCTGTATGTGCAAGTTACTTTGCAATTTTTTAAGAAAGTTTATGAATCATATGTTCAATCTATTCCAATTTCACATCACTTTGGTTTTTTATTAAAATTTATAAATGACAATAATAATTCTGTTTTTGGTCAATGCCATACAACAGTAATACTATAAGTAATTTTTCTTTTGTGGTGAGCTAAAATTGAAAAACTAATTTCTATTCTATGATAACAAACAATATTATACATAAATATATTAATAAAAAAAATTTCATTTACTATAAAATTTTCATATGTTACACAGATATAATAATGCAACAAATTTTTTAAATATTTTATTAATAATATTTTTAATATATATTAAAATATAT